AATAGGCTTGGGCTCTAACCCAAATGCCCCATGTTGCCAAACACTCCCAATTTAATATTTTATTTTTCCATCATTATCTCAATTAAAATCAATTAATATATATATATATATATATAATGATAATATATATTTAAATGTGCGAACACACATTTAAACGTAATTCCACTTATTTAATTTTTCTAACAAATTAAATAAAGGCTACGACCTCAGCAAATTTAATTGCACTATGAAATTACCAAAATACCCTTTCGCCTTAAAAGACGAAAACGCCCTTCTTTCTTCTTGGATCTTAAATTATCTTCTATGTGTGTGACCCATAGGCTCCTCATCATACCGGCAGTGTATAGTATCGCGATTAACACCAATTAATCGTCTCATTAATACACAGACCAAGATTGGCCCCTAGCAACGCATCATGGCCACTCGATAGATTCGGATTCAGCAAAGTAGCTACCTGTCAACGATATGGTTACCGTGCAAATCGATCCTTTCATCATTCGTTATCTCGACGAGACAAAGGCATAGAAATAGTGTCAACCTTCGGTTACTCTCGATATTAGGTATTCAGTTTCTGGACCAATAACCCGTATTATAAACTGGATAGAGCAACAACTCAATCCCACTATAGCCACAGTTTTAACGTCATTGCTATATACTGAATTGCGCCATAAGATAACTTCTCCCGTACCCGGGAGTGATGAATCCTCTATCAATCCACCATAGTCTTGATATACTCCTTGATGCAGCCAATCACCACTGTATTGACAGCTTTGAAGAGAACTGCGTTAGGCTAGTGTCAAACTACACCAATCGGTGCACAAGGCGCTCCGGTGATCTCAAGTCTAAGGATCACATGCACCACCATTCATTAGAGGATTTGTTCCATAGACACTGGGGTTACCATCCATATGGAATCCTCTGGTGGGTCAGTCCAGTGAACTTGCTGCGGTGTAATCGTCTATAGCAAACACCCATGTGTTGCACCAGGTTGTCACCAAACAACCTTGACAAGTGAGATCAGTCACTGCCTTTCGACAGGGTCGTTCAACACTATGATAGCCTTACCGTATTATCTGTGCCCTTACTTCAGAATAATACTGGGGCTACGGACGTTTCTAGAATGGCCACCATATGTGCTCATAAGGTTCTCACTATCAAGATTTGAAACACTTGATACCCTCGTCACGGTTCTACCATTCTAAGGACATATATCAATACATATTGCAATAATAATGATTTACGCGATATAGAATAAAATGCCTTTTATTGATTAATGAACATTATTACAAAGAGTCAATTCTACAATAATTGATTGGCTCTAGGGCATCTACTCTAACACCTGACCTTAGAGTCGAAGAATCTTTTCGTGTGCCGCTGGCAGGATGCTATCCTTAACTGAGCTTTGCCACGGTGTTCTTCAACTAAGTCCAAACTTGCACGCATAAGTGTTTTATTGTCTGTTTAATTGAGCAGGTCTCTTCGAAGTGAACCAATCCCTACTTCCACTAAGATCATAGCCTCACAGCCTTATGCTAGTGAGAAGGGTGTTTCTAAAGTAGAGGTTCTCGGAGTTGTCCTATATGCCCATAGGACTTTTGGGAGGTCATCGACCCAATTACCCTTGGCAGCTTAGCCTCCAGAGTATGCGTGATGATCTTGTTGACAACTTCAACTTGACTATTGGCTTGCAGTCTTGCAACTGAGGCGAACTTTTATGGATCCCTAGCTCATCGCAAAACTGATTGAATTCCTCGTTGTCGAACTGCTTCCCATTATCAGGGATGAGTGTATGAGGAATTCCGTAGCGACATACTATATTTTTTAAGACGAAGTCCTTGAGCTTCTTGGTAGTGATCACGGCCAATGGTTCAGTCTCGGCCCACTTGGTGAAATAATCCACTGCGACCACAACATACTTAACCCTTCCCTTTCCGAATGGCATGGGTCCAATGACCTCAATTCCCCACATGGAGAATAGCCAAGGGTTGGTCATTGTTATCAACTGGTAAGAAGGAGATCGCGGTATGTTCATGAACTGCTAGCACTTGTCACATTTTTTTACAAAGTTGAAAGTGTCTTCCTAAAGCAGGGGCCAATAGTACCTTTGGCGAACAATTTTGTTGGCAAGGGATTGCGCGGTAGTGTGATTACTGCAGATCCCTTCATGTATCTCCCTCATGATATAGTCTACTTCCTCATCGGTTACACATCGGAGGAGAGGGGCGCTAAACCCTCGTTTGTACAACTGGTCTCCTATGAGTGTGTAACGAGCAGCTCTGGTACGCAAGGTTCTTGCCTCAGTCTTGTCATTAGACAAGGTCCCATCTCGGAGATACTAAATAACTGGGGTTATCCAGGAAACTGACTCTATTAACAGCCACATCCTATTCAGGCGAGCTGATACTAAGGATCTCTATATACCGAACAGGAATACTTTTCGACGCATCTGAGTCTAGCAACGAGGTTATTCTTGCCAAGGCATCTACAATAGAATTGCTATCTCTAGGAATCTATGTCATCGTGAAGTGCTTGAAAGACTCGAGTGCGGCCTTAGCCTTCTTCAGACAATTGATCATGTTTTCTTCCTTGGCTTGATATTCTCCCAAAATCTAATTGACAACCAGCATGGAGTCGCTATGAATACTGATTACGATTGACCCCATCTCTTTTGCCAATCGCAGGCCAGTGAGCAATGCTTTGTATTCGGCCTTGTTGTTCATAGATTTGAATCCAAACTGAAGAATACCATGGATGCGAGTCCCTTCGGGATTGAGGAGTAGAAGGCCTACCCTGGCTCTTTTTCTGTTTGAGGAACCATCGACATAGAGGCTCTAGGTCGATAAGTTTTGAACAGTTTCCTAGGTGACTTCACTGGCTTGCTACTCAGATTCCTGATTCGGTTGTTGTGAGAACTTCGAAATGAAATCAGCAACAGCCGGCCCTTTAATGGTTGCCTTCGGTCTGTACTGCAGATCAAACTGACTTAGTTCCATTGCCCATTTGAGTAACTTACCTGAAGCCTTTGGCTTCTAAAGGACTTGCCTGAGTAGATAGTTGGTCAAGACATGGATTGTGTGGGCATGAAAATAAGGTCGCAACTTTCTGGAGGCGATAAACAAGGCATAAGCTAATTACTCCATTTCTGGATACCGCATTTCAACATCCAGCAGTCACCTACTTGCGTAATATACTAGCCATTGGACTCTTCCTTCTTCCTGAATGAGAGTTGCACTGACCGCATGCCGAGAGACAGATAGATACAGGAGAAGAACTTCCTAGGGGAGAGGCTTGGACAGGAGAGGTGGCTTTCTAAGGTGTTCTTTTATGCTCTAAAAAGCCTGCTCGTAGTCCAGAGTCCATTCGAAGTTTTTATTGGCCCTAAGTATATTGAAAAATGGCAAGCAGCAATCTATTGCCCTTGATATGAAGCGACTGAGAGCCGTTATTCTCCTATTGGGACTTTGAATCTATTTTCGGTTTGTCGGGCTTTTCATATCAATGAGAGCTTGGATCTTCTCGAGGTTGATTTATATTCCCCTCTGGTTAACCATATACCTCAGGAACTTTCCCAAGGATACTCCGAATGAACAATTAAGAGGATTGAGCTTCATTCTATACCTTCGGAGTATACTGAACATCTCAACGAGATGCGTTATGTGATATGAAGTGACATGCGATTTGACCAGCATGCCATCAACATAGATTTCCATCAATTTTTTGATCTGCTCAAAAAACATTCAGTTAACTAGCCGCTGGTAAGTCGTCCCAACAGTTTTTAGGCCGAAGGGCATAACCTTATAACAATACAGCTCCTAATCTGTAACAAAGGACGTATGCTCTTTGTCTGACGCATACATCAGAATCTGATTATATCCCAAGTAGCCATCCATAAAACTTAGTAGCTCATGCTCGGAGGTGAAATCGACTAGCTGGTTGATTCTCGGCAAGGGAAAGTTGTCCTTTGGATAGGCTTTGTTAAGGTCGGTGAAGTCAACATAGGTTCACCATTTGTCGTTAGGCTTCTTTACCAAGACCAGATTGGCAACCTAGATCGGGTAAAGCGCCTCTCGCTTGGACCCGTTCAGGAGGAGATTATCTACCTCAATTTTCAAGGTAGCATATCGTTCGAGGTCCATTGCCCTTCTTTTTTGGCGAACCAGCTTGACCGCATTTCAACTTGACCGCATTTCAATATTCAGTGTGTGGCATATAACATTTGGGCTGATCTCGATCATGTCAATGTGAGTCCATGCGAACACATCGATATTTTCTCTGAGGGAGCTTGTCAGGTCATTGGCGAGCTATGGGTTGAGATTACTCTCGATTCTCAACACTCGGGTTGGCTCGCTTTGGTCAACTTATGCCTCGGATAGGTCCTCGACCGGCCCATTACGAGGGCATTCCTAGATGCAAGGATCCATGTTATCCTCAACCAAGCCAGGTTGAGGCTCGATCCTACTGATCGACATTGCCTATTCGGGGATGCCAACTGGTATTCCCTTTCCATTGCACGCCATCTGCACTGGTCTTATATAACAGTTGCGAGATACGCGTTGAGATCCACTTACTTCCCCTATCCCTGTTAGGGTGGGGAACTGTAACAACTGCTGAAATCTAGTACAATGCATGCACAATAACAATAGAAAATGGGCCCAAAACTTTTCTTTTTATTAAAAGTAATACGTCTTTTATACACAAAGAGCATCATNGCGCCAGCAATTCAAAAGTTGTCGAAGAAGACGCTCTGGTGGATCACCCAATGAGAAGATCAGATCATCGAAGAATTCCCTACGTAGGTAATGTTAATTGAGCAATAACACTACATAGTAGGCATGTTGAATGTCTCCATTGAACATCATGTGATGGTATTAGTGTAGGTGAATATAAGAGATGTGTCACTAAGACATTAGCATGGATAAATGGTTAGTGAGCTATTTATCGAAAATGACATATTACGATAAATCACATCGACGTGGTCAATGATGTATCGTAGGATCGTGCTAGTGTACCACTGATCCTTTAACATTTTTTACTCCCAAGTTCACTTCAGAAACGTCTCCAACTACTGCTACCACCTTTTCCAATATAAAGGACTTGAAATTGGCACTAAGTTTATCCCTCAGCACATTAAACAAGTCCTTCTCAACCTATATAATTTTCAAAGTTTTAATTAAGTGTGTTGATTATATGTATCATATTATTGAAAAAAAAAAATCTAAAATTACAGAGTATCCCGTCGTTCATATCACAATACAATATATTTATGACATATATGATCATTGTCTCTCTCATTTATACTTATATCTAACTGTATGGTGTGAATGAATGCATTAGTTCAATTCAAAGTTGAGTTCAATAACAATATGTTCGTGTGTGCGTATGTATATGGGCACTAAAAATGTTGCATGAATATTTGTAGAGAAACAGACTATTAAACACTATGGAGGGAAACATAAACCTCATCAAGAATTCGATTCATTGCAGACTTTGCATCTGCTGCTCTCACAAGAAGATACAATTTTTTTACATTTGGTTGAATCTTCAGGATCTTCTCCACAAAAACTGCAATAACATATAAATTAATACGAACATAACAAAACATCAAATTGATGGGAGAATGACTGAATGAGAGAGTGTGATTGAAAAATATTAATACCTTTTCCTAGAAAGCCAGTAGCACCAATGACTAAAATAGTCTTATCTTTAAAAAACTGGAGAGGATTAACGAATTCCATTGATTTGAGAGTTGAAGGATGATTGGTGTGCTGTGGAATGAAAATAAGGGCTATTTATAAGAAAAAGAATCTAAAAGATTATTGAATCAGCCACTTTAAGAAAGTTGGTGCATAGATTATTATAATCATGTACTTATCCTCTACTTGGTTGTCCAAATTTTATTTAATGCCTAACTAATCGCCATCTACCTCTTGTCCTTCATCTATTCATGATTACTATCCAAGAAAATAGACCATCTAGCCTTCCTCCGTGAAAATTAATATATATTTTTTTTACTTGGGTCGGTTTGTTTTATTATTTTGGATAGGATTTTTGATATTTTTAGAGTTGGGTCAGTAACAGGATAGGATTTAAGAATTAACAAAAACACCCCTCTAGGTTTGCTAATTTACTAAACACCCTAATATATAAAAATTTTATAAAATGACAAAAACACCCCCACCACAATTGCCAAATTCCAACCACCACCGTCGGAATCTGGCGTTATGGCACACAACCAGCCGGATTTGACCGTTCGTGTGCTGATATGGCCTTTTTCAACCAGATCCACCACGGATCTGGCCAGAAAGGCCCGATCTACTACCATTTTTGGCCGTCGACGGCCACATCTGGCCATCGTTGACAACCGAATCTTTGGCCGTGGATCTAGCCAGAAAATAATAGATTGGCACACTACCGGTCAGATCCAGCCAGTAGTGTGTCATTATACCAGATTCTAGCCACCTTCTAGTGGTGGTGGCCAGAATCTGACCAATGTGGATGGGTGGGGGTGTTTTTGTTAATTTTTAAACTTTTTTCTGACTATATTTTAAATCCCTTAAGTTTATTAATTTAACTAAACACCCTCAGAAAAAAGTTTAAAAATTAACAAAAACACCCCCACCCACCCACATTTATCAAATTCCGACCACCACCACCACTAGAAGGTGGCCAGAATCTGGTATAATGGCATACTACCGGCTGGATCTGGCCAGTAGTGTGCCGATCTATCATTTTCTAACCAAAGCTACGACCAATGATCTGGATGGCTATTTATCCAATGATACATACTATTTAGATTTTGTTGCCTCATAAATCACCATCTATGATCTACTTGTTGCCATTTATCCAATGAGGCTGACAATGGCTACCGACAATCGCCAATTGTTCACCTTCTCTTGCATGTGAAAATTAACATGTTTTATCCTGTTAATATATGTTTCAGTAACACTTTGTATCTATAGGACGATGGAATAATTGTATTATTTTCTTGTAATCGAGGTAATGCTGACACAAACAATTAGGATTTTTTTTAGGTTGGTATGTAGAAAGATTTTTGGAGATTAATACTTGGATTTTCTTTCTCATATTATTATTATTATTACTATTGGTTTCTTGGCTATTACAATTTTCTAAGAATTAACTAGGGAGGTGTTTGTCCGAGCTTATGAAAATTAACTTATAAGCAACAAGTGCCTATAAGCTAATTTTAGCTTATAAGCATTTGAAATTTTAAACAATTACGTGTTTGGTTAAAGTACTTATGAGTGACTGATAAGTAGTTGAGGTGTTTGATAAAATGTGACTTATAAGTACATTTTATTATAAAATGACTAAAAATGGTACTACATTAAACAAGGGTATACTATGAAATTTTAAAATTAAACAAGGATAATATGGTAATATACTTGGTCAAACTAGCTTATAAGGAAATAAAAAAAAAAAAAAGTACCTCCCCCCAATTTTTTTTTTTTTTTTTTTTTTTTTTTTTNACCCCGTTGTTTTCAATGTTTTTGCAGGTAACAGGTGAAATACGGTCACTTGGATCATCACGCAGCGGAAAGGGTTGGGCAAAATTGTCAAGTTAATATTTTGAGACTTATTTGCATTATGTAAAGTTTTGTTTATAAAGAAAATTAAATATGAGCCCATACTTTGATACTCGTTTATATATTTCCTTATATATATTTAATGAGTTTTTTCTATTATTTTAGTAGTATACTAGCTAGAAAGAGAGTCATTACAGTGATCTAGCCATGGGCCTAATATATGTTTCATTATAAATCTTTATAATCGAAACTCCCATTGATTATGGTAGACGTCTATCAATGTTCCATAACCCCTAAACAACAATGAAGTGTAAACTCCAATGAACCATTTTTTATCATACGTATTGTGTAGTAAAATCCCTTTGTCATCTAATCCCAATTAAGAATGGTTCATGGTATGTCAAAACCTTTAACTTAATCTTTAATCGAATAGTCGATCAATACAGTGGAACTCGTCAACATGAAACTACCTTTCATCTGGCATTCATTATACTCTGGCTAGAGATTTCCCTTTTCCAATGTTTATTGACATTCGTCTGGGAACTCGAGATTGGACTATTTTGAGTTAACGGATCCCATCTTGACCATCACTTGTCCTCACACATGAATAACATATGTACGAACAGGCTTATTACACAAGACGTGACTAGTCTCGTGCTTATACTCCATATGAACCATATGTATCCTATGTTGAATTCAACCGTGATGTCTCAGGTCTAGGATCAGTGGTACAGTAGCACGATCCTACGATGCATCATTGACCACATCCATGTGATTCATCATAATTTGTCATTTTTGATAAATAGTTCACTAACCATTTATCCATGCTAATGTCTTAGTGACACACCTCTTATAATCACCCACACAAATACCATCACATGATATTCAATGGAGACATTCAGCATGCCTACTATGCAATGTTATTGCCCAATTAACATTACTTGCATAGGGAATTCTTTGATGATCCACCAGAGCGTCTTCTTCGACAACCTTTGAATTGTTGGCACTACCAGAGTCTAGGATTCGGAGTGGGGTTAGGTTTTCCCCTTCTTTAGGAATATTATCCATGGTTTTGTTTAAGGAAGCTTTAGGATCGAATATTTGTCAGAATTAGGGCACTGTCATTGCCAAAAATCGCAGAGAAACGAGCTTAGGATCAACTTGTATCAACTTCCAGTCAAAAGCCCTCCAAAAATCCTTGGAAAATTTAAAGAAAGCTTGAAAGGATTGAAGGATGGAAGAGGCGGTGGAGAAGAAAGAATGAAAGGGTTTCTAAAGCTAAACCCTTAATATCTAATATTTTATCCACTCTTTCCCATTTTGCCCTTACTCTTTCTTAGGAGTTCCAACTTTGCCCTTTAATTCTTTGCAAATGCACCCCCATGTAAACTATTCTCCATGCAATTTCCTTGCAATTCACTCCCCACTTTTCCTGCTATTTAGGGGTGGAATGGTCATTATGCCCTTAAGGAAGAATTCTCTAGAAACTCATAAGAATTTTTGGCCGAGTCTTCGCCGCAACGAAGATGAATTCTTTGCCTTGGCAAAATATTCCAGGGCCTAGGTCGCCGCGGCGAAGTCTACCTTTCACAAATTTCAAAAAGATTTCACCAATTTCAGGGCATTCAAGCAATTTCAACACATACACACTTAACTAAGGGCATAAAAACAACATTAAGGGCAAAATGAGCAAATATGAGTTACGTACCTCAAGCGGGCATTACACTTTTGGCATTGTCTATAAAAGANTTTAAAACTGATAGCCTTTTAATTAAATGTAAACTTCAAATGTCTTTTTAATAAACTCCCCCATAAGACCGGATGGTACTTAACCCAAAGCTTAAGTATGGGCTTGGAAATGGGAACACAAATATTATTGAATATTCTAGTAGAAGGATTAAGGAACAAAAATATGAGTGCTCAAGGACTGTGATAGGTTGAGTAGAGCATCTGTACTCAAACTGGCAATCAGTCATATTGAATTATTATTAATGTGTACGGTTACAAAAACTTCATTTCTCTTATTTATGTTGAATCACTTCTTCTCACCCTCTTCATAAAAAGCCATTTTCTTCTCCATCTTCTTCTTCAAAAGGGAAACTTTGCTTTGCCAACACAGCCCCTCTCCTCACACTTGACATTTCCATTTTTATCTTGTTCATTTTTCTTCCCTTTTCCAGACCTCTAACATTTCGAATTTTATATTACTAGCCACACAAAAAAATTATGCTATCATTTTCCAACAAAATTAAACATTCCAATAATATAGATTCTTATATTACAGATTCTTGCCCAAAGCACAAAGCCTCAACTCTACACTATGTTTGTTTATCAATTTTGTAAGATTATTTTATCAAATTATTAATTGTTTTAAAATACAAGTTTGTGTGTAATTGATGTACCTCAAACCACCCTATACCCATTGCAAACCCAGCAGGATATCAAACTTAATCCAACTCTGATTGGCATGGGTTGAACCCAACTTCAATCAACTGGGGCGGGGCAAACCCAGCCCGATGGGTTGTGTTGCCATCAGGCCCATAAATGTTGATACTTTGGAAGATATTATGCTTAGACAGTCCGACTATTTTGAGCCTCACTGAGAGCTGTAACCGCGGCCCATATATGTTGTTGGATTAATACATGTGCAACCGACGCATCACAAAAATGCTCCTGCAGGCATCAGGTACTTGGTTGCCTAAATGGTAAACACTGATATATTTAAGTAATGTTAAGTCTATAACTCAATCTTACATAATATAAACCTTTCTCTTCCAATAGAAGAGAAATGAATTCCATCAAATTGTCCAACTTCCAAAAATTCTAATCTATATACGAACTTTGAGAGCTCTCAAAATAACTACCATCTCTTTTGCTGCTCATCAAAAAAATTTAGAGCATAGCAGACCAACAGCAAAGACCCCGGAGCAAAGGGAGAGTTTAATAGGACTATTAACATATCACAACAATAAATCCCATCAGCAACTGCTGTTAAAATAAACTGAAGGGTGGCACTCTAGCATTATAAAACCAAAATAATTTGCCCTTCATTTTCTAAGCATACTTTCCCTGACCACACTTGCAAAGAATCTAAATAATGCAAAATCTTAGGGTAATGAAAGATGTCAACACAGCAATTAGAGCAAAAAGGGACTTGTGTGGAGACGAAAGCTGATAAAAAAGGGCTGTTA